CGAAATGAATGTTTGATGTTGATTTAGTTATCTTTAAAATCAATTGACCAAATAGACAACAGAGTTTCTAAATTCCATGAGAATTTCATAAGATTTATGTTTTCGTTTACTGTAAAAAGAAAATGACTTTCCCGCAACAAGTGAATAAGACATTTACGAATAGATTAATCCTGACTGTTTATTTCTTTATTGAAAATGTTGGCTGGTATTTGTCTTTTTCTCTTTTTTTTCCGTTTTGGTCATGCTATTGGCCGTCCTTCTTAGATTATGTTTTTTATCACTTATTGTCCTCTAAACCTTTAAAGCAAGACATTAATATCAAGTAGGAAGTAAAATCCGATGTGAAAACGAACAACATTAATAATTTAGAAGGATCCTGTATTACGCAAACCAATTTGAAATGGCTACCGTTGTTTTATTCCTTAATGGTGTCAACTTATTCTAAATATTACACTCTTTGTTTTCAAATTTGACAGATAGTCTTGCATAACGAAGTAATTCTAAAATATAATCGCATTACGCATTACTAAAAAGAAAATTGACAATTTAGAATTGAAACTTCCTGTTTCTAAAACTTCCTGTTTTCTTTTCGTGAAAAAAAAACAAATGTATATATGTTCTGTTGTTTTTATTTTCAAATAACATTTCAAAAGTATACTTTTCAATAACATTAACGGTTCAATTTTATTGCACTAGATGCGTATTTCGACAACTAATGCCTCTTCAGTGATACTCGATGTCAAAATAGAGGCGAAAGATACCAAAGTGATAATCAAGCTCAAAAATCGAAAACAAACCGACAAAGTCAAGGCAAAAAAACGACCAAAAGAAAAACAACAGTATTCAAAAGGCAATATACAGAGTGACCACAGGTGTTCCGGAAGGGTCCGCAGATTCTGCTCCACGTGTAGCAATTATTTCAATAGTTCCTTAAATAATTGATTTTTTATTTGACTTTCAAGTACATTGATTAAGAAGAGTCAAACGTCTAAATTTAGCTTGTGAAGTCTGGGTGGACTTGTATTCTGTCAAAATATTTGATAAGTTTGTTGAAAGAGATTTTGTTGAACACATAGTAGACCCTTTATATAATATTGCTTATAAATGAAAAAAAAACCCACCATAAATCTTTTCTGGATTTAACTTCATGAGGAACACTCAAACCAACAACAGGAAAGTCAAAGATGTATAATAAACGCACTATACTTGATACTAGGCAGGGCAATGTTAGAAACCAGGAAATTGAATGGGAAACCATTGTCTGTATCACTAAAAGTTATATCAAAGGTAAACCCAACCAAGATGTGAATTGAATTATATGAGAATTTATCATATGAACTTTTATGTTTAACTATTTTATTAGGCACCCAACGTTTACTAGTAAACCAATTTTGATCTGAAACAGCTATTTTGATCTGAACAGCTCTTGAAAGACTGAACAATACATCATTAAGTCATGTCCAATCTTTCAGTTATTTTTCATACTTATTCCCTGTGGTAAATGCAGTAAAGACAATTCGCTTGCAGTCAATTTAGAACTTTTTATAAACGATAACAATATTATAACAACTGTACATTTTTTACATGCACAATATATACACATGTATTATGTTCTTCACATTAAATGGAAAAAGTGGCTATATGCTGCACCTCGATTCCCGGCAAAAATACTTGAACGCTTTTTTTAGTTTTCAAAGTTTTTTCCTCAAAGCGACTTGGACATTTTATCAATGAATGATTTTGCCCATATACTCATATGTTCTGGAAAGTTAATCACATTCTCGTTACGTTCATTATGACATTAAAACATTTATATCTTATAAATGCATTAAAAGAATGAATAGGAGCGGAAATATTCAACAATCACAAATATGAAAAGCACGTTTTCTTTCAACAGTAAAACTCACCTAAATGAAAGCTAATACACAATTTTATAGGAATATTAAGTCATAACGTTCTCAGACAAACCCCCTCTTTTCCTGGTCTCTATGATTTTAATTTACTTATACTTTCGAATGTCCAATATTTGGCTTCGTGAAATATCAACTTCTCCTAATATGTTTACGAAGTATACAATAAAATCCGGTGTCTTGTAATTAATGTAGTTGGCATTATTACTGATTACTTTGCAATATTTGAAACCTAGGGAGCACAATGAGGATTTGTCCGATCTACCTCTTAAAGTTATATTGTTCTATCGATATATATATAAATAAGAAGCTGTAGTAAAATTGTTGGTGAGACAACTCACCACTGGGGACCAAAATGACATAGATGTGAGCAACTATAGGTCACCGTACGGCGTTCACCAATGAGAATTCAATATTAACATATACTGCATAGCACTATAAAAGGTCCCGAAATGGAAAATTGATATGAATGACTGCTAGCGACCAGCGGCAAATATTCCAAGCATGTTCAGGCCGAGAGATATTCCACCATCACGCTTGGTCGGATTTTTATTTTTTTAACTATGAGGGTGACAGTTCACATCAGAAGAAAAACCACCTTACTCAAACATATTCTGACTTCGGCCGGACAGTATTTGCTCGTAACTCCTTCATAGTGCGTGCTTCGAGGAGCATATTCTAAATTTTAAGTCTTTAATTTTGGGCATCGTAAAGAGAAATCTTCAAAAAAGATGAAAACCCAGACAAACAGTATATAAATTATGCATACGAAAATATTTTATTATATAATATTTCACAGAATGTGTTTACTTCAATCAATACAAACTAAAACTATGTCAAGTTTATTTGATTTACAGTATGATGGGAGCGAGTCACTTCATATTTGGTTTTATAGAAGTTAGATTACTTAACCATGTTAAAGGGGCATTAGCTGTCAAATTCACGTTCACCGATTTTACTAAAATTCTCATATTTGATTTATAACATACTAAAACGTATATTCAAATTACAATAAGTCTGAAATGAACAGTTAACAATGCATTTACTCGATAATATATATCAACATTTCGTGTGTATTTTAGTCTAGACGCCATCTAATTAACCATCGAGATGACCTCCGAAGACTGCCGACGGTCACATAACCCGATATAAACATAAACATAAATATAAATAGATAGCGACCTCGTGCAATTGGACTTTTCTAGGTCTGTTTGATTTCATGTTATAGGTTAAAAAAATAAGTTAATCCTCGTTTTTACCGGTTTAAGAATGATTTTTTGTGGATCGAATCAGTCAACGAAATGATTCACCTTTGTTTCACTTTCAATGTTGACATTCTTTTCCTTTAAGTGGCTGAACACGACTAATACGTCCGTAACCAATCTCTTGCTAATGGGTTAAATTGAAGGTCACATGAATACGGATTCAATGAGGTCGAATTATTCACTTGCGAGTGAATAATTCATCAGCGATGTTTCTTTGCTTATTTTGACAAAATTGAACCAAATTGGCTGCTAAAAACGAATTATTATTTCATTATTTGAATTTTTACTTTTATTAATGATTGAACAAACAAAATCACATTATAATTCTTTTTTCATATCTCGTAGCTAATGCCCCTTTAATTAGCACACTTAATCTTCTTGTTGTTATCAATACTTTAATATTTTATCATTTAAATATTACATCGAATTTCTAAAACAAGACGGATACCTGTAAAACGAAACAATAGATGATACATTATCGGTTTCAAATATTTCACAGTATATCAAACAATCATGAAAGTAGGAAAGAAATAAAGTTTTGCATGTTTACCTCAGAAATAACGCAACTTTATATCTTTCAAATCATCAGACGAACGGTTATAAGAAACATAACATGTTATATTAAAAAGTCATTATTTCTTAAAAAACACATTAATTTTATATTCTCGTATAAAAATAAGATTACATATTATTGTATCTACACCTTGCCCCCTTTTCATTTCTTTTTTTATTCTGTTCTTTATAAAATTGTAATTTAAATAATTATGATTATGACCATTATATAACGTTTACAATATTGAAATCTCTACTTAAAATGTTTTATTTTCTATTCTCCTGTTTTCATTTATAAAAATTAGACAAACAACAGTACTCATATTTTTTTTTTTTTTGGCCAATTTAGAACATATTCACACCTTTGAGTGACATAACAAAATAAGACTTCCCCGTTGTTATAATCAAATCCTAATATGAGCTCACTTTAAGTGTTAACATGGTTAGTAAATGGAATGCAAATTATATTTAAAGGTCATTTCAACAGATGGAATGAAATAAAGTTAAATTATTCAAAAATGGAGATTTCTTCTGCTTCAGGTACAATTTTATACTTATATATCTAAAATTCCTTCATTTTGAAAAGCACATAATGTTATATAAATCAGCTTTTCTAAAATTGAATGATTTTTTTAATAATGACAAATCTTCATCAATAAATTTTAAAATTACAAACGTTTCAACATCAGATGCTTACTGTTTTCGCTTTTTTTTTCAAAACTTCCTTTGATTTTTTTTATCAACAGTCATTGTTTCTTTTAAAAAAAACCCATAATTGATTTTAAGGTCTCGTATACAAATTAGATTGAATATTATTTAACCTACACCTTTGCCCCCTTTTCAATCTTTTTTTTGGGGGGGAAGGGGGGGGGGGGTACCATATATATTCTTTTATAATGTTGAAATCTCAACTTAAAATGCTTTTATAGTTCTATTCTCTGTTTTCATTTATAATGATTAAACAAACAACAGTACTCATGATTTTTTTCTTTTGCTCTTTTCCTACGGGAATTGCCTTCAAGGATTGTATACTTTATTAGTGCAGTTTATAAGAGATCATTTTCATAATTAATCCACAATGAAAAGTCATTCATGTATTGCATTTTATAGTGCACGGAAAGCCATGTACTATGAAAAATAGAAGGGAAAATACTGATTTTCCTTTGGACGAGAATGGGTGAGTATGTTCTAAGTTACCTATTTTTTTTTTTTTCGTTATCTGAACAGTTTAAGATCTACCACAAATTAATTCGTTTTATCTTTATTGTCTTACCCCACTTCTATAAGCCTGACTCCATGCACTACGCAGTCGTTGTCTTTCTCCACTTGTTAACATTCTGATCTCTTTACGATATTTGCGTCCTGCTTGTCGCTTTTTTCGTTTGCCTGATATTGTAGGACATAGCAGTTTCCCAACAAATTCTGAAATGTCTGACATTGTTGCGTTGTCTTGAGGATGACCGCAGTTTCGTAAATTTGGTCCATTCATCCACATGTATCTTGTTACACATGTATTACACACAGCTTCACTCGTGGATTTAGTAACATCATTGTATTTAGTTTTCATGATTATACATTCTTTTAGATGTTGCGGTAGTTCTATTTCTTCTATCAAGCATGTTCCTATACTAATGTAAGACAGTATAAACAGGCAGGCGAATGCAAACTGCATTATGATACCTGAAAGGGAATGTAAATATATGAATGTAAGCTATAATTTATATAAATTAAATTCCAATTTTTGTTTTTAGGAATAAACTATGTTATTACCTTCGTTGGTCAACCTGTGTTTGTAAAAGCACTTAACTATAATCATGTTTTTATATTAAAGATTCGTAAAATCCCTACTTAAAATTTTTTTTCTCATTTAACTGAGTAACAGTTTGATCCTTCGCCAGATTTTACGGTGAATTGTTCCCTAATGTGCGGCATAATATGTTTTCTCCTCGTATTATAGATGGATAGATTGACAAAAAAAACTGTGAAATACCTAAAGAAAAGTGTGCATTATGTGCATTATAATAAGCTGTTTTCACCATAATGAGAATTATTCTGAATTTTGAATGTACGTAGACTTAATTGGATAATAAGTGTACATATTTACAATGGTAAAACATTATAGCTAAATGCAAGTATAGTTTGGTTAACAAATATAAGATGACGAGTAAAGAAGCAGTTTACGTCTTTAAAAATACACAATGATGCTTTCAACATGACGTCCAATCATAATTTTAGTCTAGGTAGAGGGTTTGAAGAGGACACACATATTTTTGGAATTGAATTGTGAAAGAGAATTGAATATACAACTTCAGAGTATAACATCATTTTCAAGTCGAAAGCTTATTCATTATGTAAGTGAAAATAAAAAGCCTTTTTCCTTTGCAAATCTGATCTATCTGCCCTTTATGTACTGATCAGCAATCTATGCCTTCGTTTCCTTGTATCTAAACGTTACACGCATTTAGAAGGGCATTAGCTGCCAAATTTAATGTCACCGAATTAACTCAAACACTTTAAGTCGAGTTATCACATACGAAAATGTTTACCAGAATTACAAAAGTTCCATAGGAAACAATAGACAATACATGAAATCGTAATAAAGTATCAGCATTTCGTGCGCATTAAAGAACCAAACTCCATCTAATTAACTATCGATATGACCTCCGAAGATTGACGTTGGTCATGTGACCCGATATAAACATAAACATTAAAAAAATATAAAGATTGCATGCATAAGAAGCAAAATTAAGCGAAACCAGTACAAAAATTATTTGTGTGCAACTGAAAAAAAAACGAAAAAAAAAAACAAATAGTCTCCAAAATTTTTTGAACGGCAACAAAAATAAAAACGTTTTATTAAGAACTTTAAACAATTTCCAAGTTGACGTAGATTGTTATTTCTTTTTTTCCCTTCTGAACATGAAATATTGGTAAGAATAAAAAAAAAATCTCTTCTTTCAATTGAAAAGATGCCTCGTTCGTGTGAGATAAAAGAAAATAACACTTTTTCAAATTTGGTGCGTCCTAAGAGCGAGCCTTTTTTATCCACCTTCATCAGGAGCTGTACGATTAAAGGGACCTAAAAAGAATGGCTAAATCCACCAACGGTCAATTTTGTATGTGGGAGTTGCATCCATAGTTAAATAGTTTCTATGTTTATCAACGGAGAAAGTAATGTTATAAATCATGTTAGTACAGAACCACTAACTACTGAGTTTATGATACCTTCGGGGACTAGCATTTCAACAGCAGTGGTATTGACCAAGTGCTAGAAAATGAATAAAACAGTATACATTTGGTGCGTTCGAATCGCTTTTCTAGATTTACTTTATCAGGAACGCTCAAAGCCAACGATGTAAATATACTTGAATACTCGAGGAGCAGTACGACTAAAAGGGATCTCAAAAGTAAAGGATCATTGCTCCTCTTGTTTTTGATTTTTTGTCAGATATTCGGAATCCTCTGGTTTTATTCATGTAGTGCCAATGAATATTTAGCCCGCTTACCCCTACTTTTCTTTTCGTAATTTTATTACATATAGTTTAAAAAGCCATATTTGAAAATTTTATAAAATCCTTGCTATTTTTTTTTTTTTGTTTGTTTTTGAATGAAAAAAGGTGCCAATATTAAATGTCTGAACAATCTAGAAAGAATCATTTCCCGACAATTTTTCAATGGCTTATATCTCGAAAACAAGGACACGGACCCTTCATTTTTTTCTGCTTTTTTAGTTCCGTTATTTAAATACTATCAATTTATAAGTCTTTTAAAAAGCTTGTTATTTTAAAACAGAGTAGCGAACATCCGTAATCTAAAATAATTTTTAATGATTATGTTGTCCCTTTTATTTAGCCATAACCATATGCTTGGCCTCTTTTTACCAAGAGTCTGATGCAATTTTCGATTTTATGTATATATATATCAAGTGGTATTCTATAATTTTGGAAGGGATGGTGCTAGTCTATTTTAAACATTTCACGAAATATACTTCTATCAGAAGACTTGGATATTTCTGACTGTATGCTGTAGAATGAAATGACTGAATGAACAATGGTTTGATGAGAATTTGAAGTCAGTCCGAACTTTACAAAATTTATCCATGTGTTTTGACGACTAATTTTAGTAAACGGAACTATAACGTTTTATAACAGAAAATGTACCCTTTCTGCCTCGATGTGTAAACAAAACAGGATAGGATTTTTTTTAAAACAATGGTGTTGCTATCGGGCTGAAACTTTTTGGTCAACATGTAATGTTCTGCAAATTAACTAGATGGTCAGACATTTTTACTGGATGGATTATGGAAGGTGTTTAAAGAAACTTTGCATACTTTGTCACTGTTATTGGTCGCCAATAGTTGACTGCCTTCGGTAAGCAATCGATCTTCGACGAGTAACTGACACAATGGAAAATAGGCAAGAAAAAGGAAACATATTTCATTTTTTTAAGGCCAGCGCAAGTATCAAATCTCTGGCTAAAGTGATTTCTACAACTACAATAATGTAGATGTTCACCATTTATGCTGACTACTCTTTTATTTTGTATGTTGGTCAGATTTATTTTTGGAGTTTTCCTTACCAAAACACGGACTTTGCCATTGCTTTACTTAGGAGGTACCCATTTTGTATACACAACTTCTCATAAACTCCTTATTACTATCAATTAAAACATTCATACAACCATAATCGTATAAATTATGCTTTCGTGAATCTCTCCTTTTGTTGCTGATTATAACCAGTTTTTGGGTTTTCCTTTATCAAAGCATGGAATTTTGCATTACTCTATTTGGGGGAAGGGGTGGTTATCCTCAACTCCTACGAAACTCCTTATTACAATTTATAGAAAATTTTCACAACCTTTATCATATAATACTATTGTGCACATCCTCTTTATTTACCAGAATTATTTTATGGGTTTCTCTTAGCAAATCATAGACTTTGCAAGGGGCGGGTATCATTTTGTGAGCTATGCTCAAAGTAACAGTACCTCTAGTTCATAAAGTATTCAGCTTCATTTCAGTTTCCAACAACACATTTAAAAGTGGCATCTTTTATTAGAAAACTAAATAACTTTGTGATATGTATAGTATTTTGTATATATTTTCTAATAACTGTTTATTGTATTATTTTTAAAATAAAATTGAGAATGGAAATGGGGAATGTGTCAAAACGACAACAACCCGACCAAAGAGCAAAAAAAAAAACAGCCGAAGCCCCCCAATGGGTCTTCAACACAGCGAGAAAATCCCGCACCCGGAGGCGGGCTTCAGCTGGCTCCCAAACAAAAATGTGTACTAGTTAAATGAAAATGGACATCATACTACACTCCAAAACATATAAATGAACTAAAATTAAAAAAACATACAAGATTAACAAAGGCCACAGACTCCTGACTTGGGAAAGGCGCAAAAATGCGGCGTGGATAAACATGTTTTGTGAGATCTCGACCCTCCCCCTATACCTCTAGCCAATGTAGATTAAAAAAACACACAGCAAAACGCACAGTAAAACTCAGTTTAAAAGAAGTCCGAGTCCGATGTCAGAATAGGTAACAAAAGAAACTAAGCAAAATGACAATGGTATAAATTGACAATGGACTACTAGCAGTTACTGACATGCCAGCTATGTCTTCATCATATGAAAATCTAGCACAATCCCTCCCGTTAGGGGTTTAGTATCATACCATCATAAAATATATGAGAAGAACAACACCCGTATCATGCCAACAACTGGTTTTAGAATAAATGTGTTATTTCCAAGACCCTATGAGTGAATCAATATTAATACCAAAATATGCCATCTTTAATGACCTGGCAACAGTATCGTAACTATATCCCTTCTGAATAAGTCTGTTTAAAGGTTTTGTTAGCTTTTCATGTGAATGCCGACATTTTTGTGCTTTGTAAAGAATATTACCATAAAAGATTGGATGTGAAATACCTGAACGTATAAGATGTCTGCATGTTGATTTATATTTACGAATGATGTCCTTGTACCGATGATAAAATTTAGTAAATGTTTTGACTAGTTTGTGATATCAAAACCCTGGTGTAATAATTTTTCAGTAATACAGATATTTCTTTCGTTAAAACGTTGTTACATACACGAGCGAATCGAACAAGTTGAGATATATAAACACCATAAGATGGTGACAAGGGAACGTCACCATCTGAACATGGATAATTAACAATAGGAAATAAAAAATCATCTCTTTTATCATAAATTTTGGTATTAAGCTTCCCGTTAAAGATATAGATATCAAGATCCAGGAAAGGGCAGTGTTCATTGTTAGTATTTAAAGCCAGTTCAGCAGGATAAATCTCTTTAGTGTACATACTGAAGTCGTCATTATTGAGAGCAATATATCATCAGAATATCTAAAAAAATTATTAAATTTTTGTATCAGATGTTGTTTCGATGGGTCTTTGCTGATTTTAGTCATAAATTGTAACTCATAACAATACAGAAACAGGTCCGCAATAAGTGATGCACAGTTAGTTCCCATTGGAATTCCGATAACTTGACGATATACGGAATCTCCATAGCGAACAAAAATGTTATCAAGTAAAAATTCAAGGGCAGTTATAGTATCAAAGCAGGTCCAATTGACATAGTTCTTTTGTTTATTGTTATTAAAAAATGACCTAAAAGAGTTTGAACATATATATTTGCATTTT